TAAAAAAAAAAAAAAAAAAAAAAAAAAAAAAACGAAAAACAAATAAAAAATAAATTTATTAAATAACATAAATCAAATTGTAAAAACCATAATATAAGTAGACAATTTCTTTAAAAACAAAATAAAATTAATGCACTTGATATCAATAATACTTGGCTACATTCAAAACATTTGAGATTTAACTAATACCTATATTTTATTAATTTAAATTAAAAATACTGATATGTTAGGATACATACACACTATACGGATGCCTACAATGACAGTTAGCCGCCAACTAACCATATAATGTATATGCTGATTTACAAGCAACTGCAAATTAGTGTGAATACAAATTTATATATACAGAGTGTCCTGTCTTATATGTACTACTAAATATCTCAGCCCGATAATCTTAAATTTTAGAATTTTAGAATCTTAGATAGAAATTTTGGAAGGTGATGGGAAGTATAAAAGTACATACTTGGTGATAATTTTCAGTTTTTTAACCCTTTTAATGAACGCATAACCAAAATTACATTTTGAATAGCAACTTTGATAGATCAATTTTTTTACCAATTATAAAACAATACGACTGGTTGGCAATCACATTTTATATAACTGCTGCTTAAAACCAAAGTGCTCAAACAAAAGAAAAAATGTGACGGAATCATTATGATAGAGCTCGAAGAGCGAGAATGAACAAAAATTGGTCGGCCACCATTTGTATTCTCTATAGGATGCAGTATAAAACTAAATATATGCAATGTGAAATCAATGGGAACTGCCTCATTTTTTTGCACAAGTTAAATGGACAATATTTTGGAATGAATTTTATTGGTATTTGGGAAAATAATGATTCAAAACAAATAGTTTCAGACACAATTTTAAATGAATCAGAATGGTTAAGCAATAACTAGTTAAACAAAAATAAAATGATAGAAAATAACTTGTTATTTTTTTTAATAAATAATTCTAACATAATTTAAATATTTAGTAAAAAGCTTTGATTTTCAGCAGTTATTTACAAATTGTATAAAAAAAAAAATTAAACCAATAATTTTTGTGTGAATATTATCATTACATAACAAGACAGGTATGCCCACAGAAGTCTATAAAAGTATAAATATTAAGAGTACAAAGCGCAATAATGAATAAAAACTCTGAATAAAATTAGTAGATTTTTTTTTTTTTTTTTAAATAAAAACTACATTTCAAACTTAAATTTATTATTTTCCTGAAAAATTTGTAATTTAACTTATTTACTCAATTTCATTTATATTTTAACCTAGTAAGGAATTGATTAACTTGCCCATCATTACATATTTACCTACATTAAGGATTAATACAAAAGCTAATGACATTCAATTGACAATGCTGTAATCAACAATTATGTAACCAGTAGTTTATATCTAAAATGTATTTCTAAAATCACTTTGGATGTTATTTTTTGTGTTTTGGGTGGATATGTTGGATGGCCAACCCTTTAGAAAGGTATCTCATAGAATGAGAATATTTTCCAAATGTTGCCATTCAAAATAAAAATATGTGTCCAACATATTTTTGAACAAATATTATGAATAAACAATAAATGATGATCACACTTGAGATAATGACACAGGATGACTTGTACATTTGTCTAAACAAATGCTTAAACACACTCCTTAAACACTGGAAATATCTCTATAAATATATTTTTTAACCCACTCAATTATAATATTATTAATTATACAAATTATAAATACCAATATATATATGCAGGGCAATTTTTTTACCATTTAAAATTAAGTAAATTAGATTTCTGTTTTTTTTTAATCATTATGGAAACTGTACATAACACTTATATCAAATTTACAGTTTATAAGTTATAATAGTCTAAACTTTAAACAGTTATAACTCATAAATGGTAAATCTGATATTATTAGTGTTATGTATATTTCTAGAAAAATATTTTCTACCTATTCAAATCTGTGTTCAAAAAGAGAGGGGTTTCTATTTGAAACACAAAGGTATATTTATTATAGGTATATGGAATAAGGGTAAAAATTAAAATAATGCCTTAACCTATTCCATAATGACTAAAATAAACAAAAATCAAATTCACTTAAAATCCACCAAGAAAATTGCTGGTTCATGCTAAAAACACATTCTAGGATAATGGGGATGGGTACAGCAACTGTTATATATAATTTAATGTACATTTGTAAGCAACAATAACCAATTGCTTACAAAAAAACGATTCTGAGCAGAGTTCAGCTGATAGTGATGCTTTGTCAACAATATATGTCATTTTAGAGTAAACAAATTAAATAGGCTTTATAATTTTCTTTAATAATATTTATTTAATGTTGTAACAATTTTCTGAATTTTCCTACTTTTCACAATTTTTCAAATTAAATTAGAAAACTCCTAAGAAAATCGAAAAATTACCTCTCTTAAGTACCTTCCTAGTGAAATTTCCTCTTTGAAACATTTCTATTATTATAGGTGGGCGCAAAATTGCTGATAGAAAAGTTGTGAATAGAAAAAGAATAGGCCGTAATATATTTTAACTAATACCAACATTTGTTATATTTTCCCAGTTTTTTTTTTTTTTTTTTTGTTTTTCAAATTTTATGAGAAAATCGAAGAATGACCTCCCTAAATTACCTCATTACACCAATTTCCTTTCAGAAAAGGTGCTACACTTAAAAATCTGAGGAAGTTTTCTAGTAGAAAAGTTTTTCATATATAAAAGAAAATCAATACCTTTTTAAAACCATAAGCTTCTTCACTCCACTCAGAATCTAAAAAATCATCTTGCATATACATAGCAGTATAAAATACATTTTTAATGTATTAATAATCTAAATAATTTTAATTTACCTGTATTTTCAAGCAAGGTTTTTGGTGTATTTTGTCTGTTCATGGTTACGACTAACTGACCTAGAATTATTGGTATAAAAGGTTGCATTTCAGTGCCTATTGGAAATAAAACAGAATGTATATCATCATTAATTTACAATATTATATTAATAACATTATAATACCCAATTTTACAGCTATTTCTCCAATTGCCCATGTAGCATTATTACATACAGAAATATGTTCAGGATTTAAATTTTGTGCCAATATTGGCATAAAATCAGCTAAAAGTAAACAAAATTTTACATTTATTTAACATTTGATCTATAATTTAAAAACTTAAGTAGTGTTTATAATTTACAGAATTACTTTCTATAAGAATTTTAAAAATAGATTCAAGTGGATTATTCAAAAGTACAAAGATTTACCTATCTATTAAACTATTATCATAGAAATTAATTTAGTTTAAGTAAATAGATGTATTTTAAGTTTGTATACCTATACAAGGATGCACATGTTGAAAACATGCTTTTGTTAAATCTCCAAGAAGAGCAAATGAACTCTGCCTCACTTCAGCTAATGGATCTTGCATGCACTGATAAAGCAATTGTAATGTATTAGAACCATTTATTAAACTTTCTATAAATGTTGTCAATCCTTCTGCTAAACCAGACAACAGGTCTAAAGCAACAATCATAAAATCTTTATCGGGTGCATCAAACTGGTCTGGACTTTGAGAATTAGCCTTATAAAACAATAATCATTATTTAATAGTCAACATATAGTTTAACTTACAGTTAAATTTTAACACTTACCATATTTTGATTCAATGTTTGTTCAACTAGTGAAATACATCGTTTGAATACTGGATCAGCATATGGCATGAATCCCGATTGTAGGGCGGTAGCAACACTAGATAAACACTATCAGCAACACATTAAGTACTATAACTTATTATTTTAAAATAGATTCTTACTTCTAATAATGGAAACAAATCTTTATCTTCGTCCTTCAATGCATTCCATTTTTGAATTAATGGAGGCATTAATAGATTAATGTATT